AGTTAGGAATGTTGTCAGGACCCAAGGAGGATTTCGTTTTCAATTGAAGAAGCATGTTCAACACACCTTGTTGAGAAAGATTCATATCCAAGGAGCAGGCCCGTGGATTATGAAGAGGGCTGAGTAGGTGGGGAGAAGGCACTGTGGAAGTGGGCAATTAAAAGGTTTGCAACACTCTTGGGGTCAGATATTTCAATACCATCATGTGTATTGTTTGTTATTGACTTATTTCGTTCTTCAATAAAGTTCCAGAACTTTTGTGGGTTTTCCCTAATGAAATTAGGTAAAGTATTGTTGAAATAAAACTTCTTTGCCTCTGCAATAGATTCCGCCTCAGCCACATGAACATTCGCTAAGTGAACGCCAGTAGATCCTTTCTTTCGTAATTGTTTGACTTGTTGATCTACTCCAACGCCATGTTTGACAAGCAATTAGACTGATTAGCAGGGTAATATCCTAAGCTTAAATACTCCTTCGTGCTCCCTCATTCTTTTATTAAGGAAAAAGGGATCACCTACACGGTTCTAATCATGCACAATTAATTGTTACATGCTCCACTCTAAAGATATGTAGACCATGTCTCTGTAATTTGGAAGGTTTCTCAATTGAGCGAGTGTGACAACCTGTTAAGGTTTTACTGTGTTACTTTTCCCGTGATAATAGTCTGTTGTCAAAAGGGATACTTGTTGATCTACTTCAACACCATTGTGACATACTTATCTCTGGAGCGCTTGCGAAGGATGTAATCGAGAGAGAGACGCGATAGACGGGCATGGGGCAAAACAAACACACTTTATCACAGCGAACAAAATGGCAAACAATAATCTGACACTCCCAAAAAGAAACCTGCCCATACACAATAATCAGCTATACAGCCAAACAGTAACTACAATCCGCGTCAAGTTCAGTGTTAAGCCTAAACTGTCCCTAACCAAACGCCATCTCAGTGGCTGCTCTCATGCGCTCTCGCAATAATAGAACATTCTTACTGTTCATATGCCACACTCAGAGCTACGACAAAGTGGTAACGCCTCGCCGTCATCGACGTCTGCATTGCCCGTGTCTCGGCCCTTGTCTTCATTTTCGGCCTTGCGAGGCCCCGCTCATCAAGAACTACCCCGTTGATGCGGCCACTCGGCTGGCTTGTGTGGGCTGCTCCCGTTCTAGTGCAATTTGGAGACTGTGCAAGTCCACCAGGAGCTGCTGGGCAGGATGCAACAAGTCCGGGCAGCCTCACTTGGGACCATCTCCGAGGTCGACGGCTACTTCCCGAGCTTTTCGTGCCGACATCCTCAGAACCGGGTGGTCTTGGTCATGCTGCTCCCATCGCCGTAGCGATGCTCGTTTCCCACCTCTTCGCAGCTTGGCGTCCCAACACGCAGTGCCAGCTCACACTCTAGAATTTTTCTTCTCGGCTCGGGTCGCATGCCACGAGCCTTTCTCCAACCAATCTCTTGTGTCTACCTGGCTGGTGCGGGTGCTTTCGGGTGACTATTTCCCCTCGTGTACCCTCACAGCTCTTCCGCGTTTGGAACGTGTCTGGTGCCCCGCTTTACTTATGACAACCATGTTTGACAAGCAACTAGACTGATTAGCAGGGTAATCTCCTGAGCTTAAATATTCCTTTGTGCTCCCGCATTCTCTTCTTAAAGAAAAAGGGATCACCTACATGGGTCCAATCATGTGCGGTTAAATGTTACATGCTCTGCTCTAAAAATATGTAGACCACACCTCTCTTTCATTTCGGGAGGGTTCCCAATTAAGCGAGAGTGACAGCCTGTTAGGGTGAATGCTTACAGCTTGCCCACATGTTACTATTCCCGTGAGAATGGTCTGTTGCCTCGGCTCTCAGCCAATGCGACTTTCAACAAATCTAGCGTCGCCATCAGTACAGGTACCAAGGGTCAATTGTCAGCAGGGAATGTTTGAAGACTAACACCTTCGTCAATTCTTGGCAGCTTTAAAAACAACTCTATTTCATGTGAAAGTGCCCCCCCCCCCCCCCGCTTGTCTGAGGGGAAGCGTAGTGTCTGTTGATCTTAGTGATGCTGGGTTGCGAAAATGGCAGTTCGCAACATTCTAAGAGAAAAAACCTAAGTGACTAAAGCCAGGTAGAGGGTGCTGTCCGTATGTCGTACCGGTATGTCATACTTGCTTCACCAAAAGAAAATGTGAGGTGAAAGGATTCATGCGTTCACTCTGAATTTTTGCTGTGCAGTTCGCCCAGCCCACTGCCTGGTGTTTACACCCAACTTCTTTCACTCTGTCATGTCATTTAGAAGAACTTGGTTTAGGTAGAGAAGATATATTGGTAGGCCATAGTCATCAAATTTTAGAGAAACAGTGCGGTATATTGACATGTGAGAAATGCACATACTTTAATTTTACACCAAAAATCCAAGTGCTTTAAAATGACTTTAAAATTCTTTGCAGGTCATTTCATGTTGAAATATCTCGGTGTATGTATATAAAATGTACCTGCAGATGTATCGTACACACAATTAGCCCTTACAAAATTCCGACCAAGTATTTCTCTTGAAAATTGAGGTATTTCTTGTAATTTCTGGCATGAATAAAAGCATTGTATAGTTTTCCACCAGAATGCAAAACTTATCGAAGCCCAGGTTGCCTAGCTAGCTGTTATGGGTTGTGGGGCAGCCTCGTATTCTAAGTCAGCGAGCCTCTGTTCAGGGTTGCCAGTTTTGGCTACTTAGTGCCGATTCCGCTATTACTTTTTGACGCTGGTGACTGCAAAAAAGATGTTTTGGCTGCTTGGTTAACTTTTGACTAGTTTCTTGTTCCCTTGATTTGAAATAAATTATTAACATCTCGTGACGCTGCAGCCACTGAGGTTCGAGTATGCTGTGTCAGAACATGGCCACCATGGCGTGCTTTCAGCTCCCAAAATGGAAATTAGATCTTGCCCTACAGAAAGGAAAATACTTTTGTATATGTGGCCGGAACTTGAGGTAAAACTGTTGTATGGGCTCTCATTTTGCAGGCCAGTGTATTTAGAAGTGAAGGAGACAATCGAATGCTCTCCACAGCCAAGATGCTCTGCCCTCATTGACATTGCAGATCAAACATCATACGAACTGTCTGTGTTCTTTCTTAAGATGAGAGATAGATTGTGACAAAATATTGACTGCTTGGACTTCATCACTTGAGAAACGACTACGAAAGCAACCACTATTTATGCTTCTGTCTCAACTGTGATCATGAGCACATTCATGCAGTACTCGCTCTTGTCACCACAGAGCTGGTACTTCCATTCATATTAAGAAAACTCATGTAGAATGCATGAACAAACATCATTTCCACAGCTGCGCAAAGAAGTTGCAATATCAGGAGGTACTTGCTGTACATAATTACATTTCCACCAAAGAGTTCTTTCATTTAATCATTCAGGTGCAAACATGGCACTTGTTTTCACGCATGGCTACACTTCGCTACTTTTACTGCCCTTGGCTGAAGTAGGCCACTTTTTCTCTAGTTCTTTCAATTTCGTGGCTATTTTATAACTTTTTGACCTGGCAACTCTGCCTCTGTCGTGACCATATTTGTCCAGCCGGGGCTCGCATTCTCAACTCTTTCCATCATATCGACATTTCTCGGGCTGCACACTGCAAGAGCTGCAGACTATGTAGCTTCTGGAGATCTGAGGAGGAGAATTGAAGGAGGAAGGACAAGGAGGTTAGTGTAGAGATCTGAAGATACCGTTTGAGCAGTGACATGCAGAATACGTTTTTTAGTTCAGTCATGAGCTTTTAGTTGCTTCTCCCTCATGCAATGTGATGCCATTTTTGTTTTTTGTTTTCATTAGCATGTCTTAATACTGGAATGATTACTTCGTTAAGTTGTACACACCAATAAATCTTAGATTTTGTAGCGGACTACAAATGAGTTTGTAGAAAGCAGGCACAGTATATATTTAGTCATAGTAAGTAGACCAGCACTGTCTATTAAAAATATTTTGGAAATTTATCAATGATATTCTGGGTATATCTCAGCAAAATTTTAGCAGGGAGGTGGCACTCTTGTTATCAGTTTTTATTTTGCTTTTGTATTAGTATTGAGTTTCATTTACGATCATGAATAATATCTAACCAACCCTTTTTGGAGTCCTAATTCACCATTTACTCCATTTGTGCGTCTTGTTCGTGGGACTAATGGTCTTCAGAGAGAGACAGAGTGTTCTGTTCAGATCAACATTCTAGCTATCAGGAAGGACATTGAGATATTTTCCTTCCCCCTACCCTTTTTATTTTTATGAAAGGAGAAGAATCTACTGCTCTGAAACTTAGCGGCTGTGGCAAGGTGGTAAGAAGCCCTCGTTTGTCAGGATGCGCCAGTACGTTGAACAATTTCTTTTACATTTTCCTCTTTCTTTGAATGTGTGTTTTACTGTCAACGTGACTAAGTTTGTGGGCACGTCGTGGCATTTCGCGGCGGCCGCAACAACTATGCATTTCACAGTGCTCAAATCGGTAAATTACTGTGTATTTGTTGTGTGGTCATATGGGTTCACCACATCTTGCTGAGAAAAGAGTGAGCAATTTCTAGCTGTCTGAGAATTAATGGTTGTTTCAAGGCCTTACGCTGGGCCATAAAGTTTGGCTCATGCGTTTTCTGTAGACTCGACAATCACTCCGCAGCATTTTCTGACCATGCCAAAAAAGTGTTGTAGGGCCCCTTCAAAGGATGAAAATTCAGAACTTTGGGCTAAGAGTTTACATTAAGGAACCCCAGGTGGCTGAGACTAACCAGTAATCACCTACTACTGCCAGCCTCGTAATCGGGTCATTGTTGTATCTGGAACCTGCGTACAAGTACTACTCGTTTAGGCTTCTATTCATGTGCCACATACACTGTCTAGCTTCCTAGCACATAAGCGCACCTCGTTGCTATACCCAACTTTAAACGTGCTTTGATGCAATGACACGTTTCCTCATTTCCCCTCAAACCCTACAACGAAACCATTCTTTTTTTTTTTTTAACAGGACAAGAGTCGCCGGCGGACGCCTGGCGGTGTATTCTTTTTTTTGGTCAAAGCCAATACAACAAAAAAAGAAGCGGACATGGTCTTTGGTGAGGAGATTCGTCGACGAGAGCAAATGCGCAGAAAGTATCGGAGAGAACAGACTCGTAGGATCAGAGAGGAGCATGTTGGTGAGTATCGCTTTGTTTGGTGAGCTCTGTAGTCCACAGCACCAGACTTCCTTCCTAGTAAAATTGAATATAACCCAGCACCTTGCCACCTTGAATATGAACTGGTCTGTAGTGACTAAAAACCAATGTCTATGTGTGGCTGCATTACGTGTGCTGACGGCAATTTGCGCGTCTAGAATATAAGTGTGTCTTATGGCCAACTGCAACAGAATCTCAAGTTAGCTAAATCTATTTTGAATATACTCAATTAGTCTAAAGATGCTAAAACTGCTTCAGTATATACTGCTATTGCAGCCTCAGCAAAACCACAAGGCTTGTGATGGCATGTAGTTTTCTTTTTTTGTTCGAAGCCTCAAATTGGCACCAAAATTTCAAGAAGCGTGCACCCGATAGTTGTTGCTATGGCCTAGATCCTATGGGCAGTCTCTGAGATGTTTCAGTGCCTCCTCTCTGAAGTCATGTGGAGCAGCCTTGTGTTTTATGTAATGCCCTCTTCGTGCATCAGTTCTGGTAGTCTGCCATCATAATCAAACTAAATAAATGTATCCTAGCAACATTCTTACCGTTCTGTAATTTCAAAGTAATATACAATTGTGTGTATCTTTTGAATTAAGGAATTTTAATAAAAGAGAGCTTTACCTGATTGGGGAAAAGAAAGAAAAATAAATGAAATAAAGGACATGTTATCACAGACTGTGGCCTATCTACTGTTTAGTCTAAAATAGTTGCCTTTGTTCTAACACCTAAGTTTTCTTTATATATACAGCGGACTCGGTAAAAACGGAACTGCTGCTTAAATGGAACTACTGCCTCTGATATAATTATATGTGTGTGTGTGTTTGACACAATAATAATGAGATCTAACAGACAAGAATGCCAAAAAAAGTATAGGGAAGTTATTAGACTGAATGGTAATGTAAATGTGAAGAAAAAAAATTGGGTGAAAAGATAACTTGCCGTGGGCAAAAATTGAACCCGCCACCTTCGAATAACGCGTTCTTTGAACCTGCTACCTTCGAATTACTACCTGACAGCAACTATTGGTCAGCTGTCAGGTAGTAATAAGTTTATGTGCTACGTGACGACAAACAGATTTATAAAGAGTGTGCCACACTCGCCGCCTTGGCTACTCGTGGCGCTGACTGACACTCCCACGTTTAATTCAAAATATGTACTCAGTAATGTGGTTGAGCGGATGGCCGCCGTGGTAGCTCAGTTGGTAGATCATCGGACGCGTTATTCGAAGGTCGCAGGTTCGGTTCCTGCCCACGGCAAGTTATTTTTTCACCCACTTTTCTTTCTTCATATTTACATTACAATCGGGTCTAATAACTTACGCTATACCTTCCTTGGCATTCTTGTCTGTTAGATCTCATTAATATTCTGTCAAGCACGGAAAAATGAGTCCTTAAGTACACACTTTTTTCTTTGATATATATATATATATATATATATATATATATATATATATATATATATATCTATAGATATATATATATATATATATATATATATATCTTTTTTCTGTCTTAGCTGTTCCTTCCCTCTTATTTTTTCACTCAAAATATTATAAATGTGAGCGCGGACAGAATGTACCCTCTATCCTGACGAAGGTCAGACTTTGGCCGAAACTGCTAATAAATGCTTTCATTGTTACTGTTCTCACGGAGTATCTACCTGACTATTAGCAATGCTACTACGGCGACTTTTGCCACCATGCCTGCGCATATATGTATGTATATATATATATATATATATATATATATATATATATATATATATATATATATATATATATATATATATATATATATATATATATATATATATATATATCAAAGAAAAAAGTGTGTACTTAAGGACTCATTTTTCCGTGCTTTTCCTTTTTCCTTTTTTTCTTTTTCAAGGCATTATGCCTTGAAAAAGACGTGGCTCCTGTCGAAACGTCGGCTGAGTAAACAGTTGTTATGTGAAAGCGCATATATATATATATATATATATATATATATATATATATATATATATATATTAACCTGACTGCCCACTGCAGGGCATAGACCTCTCTCATGTTCCGCCAGTCAACTTGGTTCTGTGCTTGCTGCTGCCACTTTATACCCACAAGTTCCTATAATCTCATCCACTCACCTAACTATTTGCCTCCTCCTCACCTGCTTGCCTTCTTTGAGAATCCAGTCAATTACTTTTAACGACTAGCGGTTATCCTGCCTACATGCTAGGTGCTCGGCCCATGTCCATTTCTTTTCCTTGATTTCAACTATGATATTCTTAACACCGGGTTGTTCCCTGACCCACTCTGCTTTTCTTCTTATGTCTTAAGGTTACACCTATAATTTTCCTTTCCATTGCTCACTGCGTTGCCCTCAATTTTAACTGAACCCTGTTTGTAAGCCTCCAGCTTTCAGCTCCGTAAGCCAGTAGCGGCAAAATGCAGCTGTTATATACCTTCCTCTTGAGGGATAGTGGCAATCTACCAGTCAAGATTTGATAATACTTGTCAAATGTGCTCCACCCCATTCTTATTCTTCTACTTACTTCCATCTCGGGGTTCGGCTTCGCGGTCGCTACCTGTTCTAAGTAGACATATTCCTTTATAACTTCCAGAATCTCTCCACCTATTACAAAGTGCCGTTTTCTGCCGAGACTTGCACATTACTTTAGTTTTGTGCATATTAACAGTGACCCCTCTCCAGCGCCAATTGCGCCAAATCAAATTTACTGCGCCATCCTGATAATATTGATGTAAATTGTGCCAAACTGCGCCAAAGTCAAATTTAAGAGCGTCTATCTTTGGCAATATCCACGCCAGCGCGTCAAAACAAGTGCACCTTTTTCTCTGGGCCTTCAAAGTCACAATCGCGTACCTAAAGTCATTCCGCTGAATAAACACCGGTCGCGCTTGCACCCTAAATAATCCACAATGCTATGTTTGGTGCCAACACAACTTTTGTTGTGCAGGTCCTCTTAACAGCAAAACGTGCTCTCAACAGGAGCTCGTGGCGTCTAGTGTTGGTAGCGTGAAGCTGCGGCAGCAATTCATCAGCGGGCGCCGTCCGTTTCAGGAACGTTGCTTATAGCGCGTTTGAAGAGTTGCGCGGCACGTAATTGAAGCGATGTTTACTAATAACTTCACCCGTGCCGCCAGAATATTTGTCACGTGTACTTTTGAACATCGCGTTCTACTTTTATGTGCTTCGCGTCCACAGAAGAACACGTGAACGGTGGGAACGCGTTGACACATTTTCTATAATTAAAGAGTTGTTTCGTAATATCTTCCACCAGCACATCTGCATTTGTAATCGCTATTGCGGTAAAAGCCTCCAAAAGAACTTTTCCTTTCGAACTCGAGATTGCGAAGGTCCGAATACAAAATTTTCGCGTTCTTTTTTTTTTTAATTTCATCTCATTAATAAAAGCACGCCTTCCGTTGAAGCAGCTGCAATTCGGTATTAATACATGCAGCTTTCAGTAGTGGGGCCATTGCTGGCCGCTCTTGTCGGAAGGCCCACTGTGAAACGGTTGTGCCATGTTACATGTCCGCCCCACGTTTTCCAGGGTCAGTAGCTGACGGTTAAAAAAAATTTAACATCGCAGCATCGCAAAAAAAAATATATATATTTTTACTGCTGGGGGAGGCTGCGTCGCTCGAAGGGTACAGTCACTGGCGCGGGCTGTATCTGCAGGCATAATGAGACTGCTCGTAAACATTCTGTGCTACTAACCCCTGCCTCCCATTTATATGAATGACAGCAAGAAAACCGCTTCGGCAACTGGAGTGGTCATTGTCCCTTTAGCCAGCGTTCGGTTGAGTAATGCAACATCGGGTCGAAAAGATACAATTTGTTAGTTTCACTTAAGCTCTTAGCAATGAATGGGATACGAACAAATTGTATTGTTATACCAAATAATAAGGCTTGACGTCATCCGCGAAAAGCACTATCGGCGTGGTTGCCATTTCGGGGGACCATGCACACGCAGAAAACTTGCTGCACGCGCAGTGTTCGATACCCGTACAGCAACTTGGATGACTAGAGACCCCCGGAACACCCCTTGCACGCCGTTGCACGTACAGATGGAATCAGACTTGTCTAGAGCGCCAAACTGGTTGCTTCAGCTCTTTTTTTGAAAAATATGTAAATGGAGACGCTGTAATGATGTCAAACATGGTCATATTACGTGTTAATTCTTTGTGCTATAATGCAAGGATGAACCGAAGCTTGTAGCTAATGTGAGATAGAAGCTGCGGCCAACAACAGTGTCAGCAGGCACGCGCTTTGCTGGTCTAGATAAGTGTGATTTTATGAATGGTGAACAGCCCCGCCGCGGTGGTCTAGTAACTAAGGTACTCGGCTGCTGACCCGCAGGGCGCGGGTTCGAATCCCAGCTGCGGCGGCTGCATTTCCGATGGAGGCGGAAATGTTGTAGGCCCGTGTACTCAGATTTGGGTGCACGTTAAAGAACCCCAGGTGGTCTAAATTTCCGGAGCCCTCCACTACGGCGTCTCTCATAATCGTATAGTGGTTTTGGGGCGTTAAACCCCACATATCAATCAATCAATATGAATGGTGAACAGGGCGTACGAATGGACCTCCAAAATGGTGTGAATATAGTGTGGCCGCCTTGCGATCAAAGCTCAGTGCACACCCCTTAATGGTCGTTCCAGAAAGCGAACAACTTTGGCCCAGTGTATTTGCTTTCAGAGTAAAAGCTAGAAGTGTATACCAGCCGTCTTTAATGCTTGCCGAAAAGCAGGCCCATCAGCGATCACACCCTTAAAGTGAAGCTTCATATAAAATGCCCCCCTCCTTGCAGTCCTACTTCCTTTCTGCTCCTTGATGACTGGCAGCGCGTTCCTCTCTGCTTGAGTAACAATCGATAGCAGGCTTGACAGGTGGGGCTACATGATGTTATTACATCCGTTCTCCATGCAAAGGAAGGAGATAGGTCGGCTCTTTTTATCTCTGCTTTAGCCACGTTCGTGG